CAATGTTTATAATGCAATTAAATGCAAAGGTGCAAGCGAGCTGGACAAGAATGACGAGACTAGTCCCTGGAGACGGGGAGCAAGAGGGACAAGGGACAAACACAAATCTCCAAACAGAGCTAGGTGACTGGTACGCGACCGAAAAAATCCGCCTGGTCCGGGTATCGAACCCGGGACCTCTCTATTACAAGTGGAGCGCTGTATACCAACTGAGCTAACCAGGGGTTAGACGTCAGTAGAGCAAACGGGTTTTATCAGCGGTCACCAGTCTAACACCAACAAGGGTGAAAAGCTTGCAATTTAAGGCTATGATTATAATGCAAGCCTCACCCTTGTTGGTGTTAGACTGGTGGCAGCTGATAAAACCCGTTTGCTCTACTGACGTCTAACCCGTGGTTTGCTCAGAAAAAAGGGTGTATTGTTACACCCTTTGTTTCATATAATACACCCCAAAACTTCAATTCGACGTACAGCGCCCTATAGTCGAACAGACGGCCCCAGATTTTACGAGGGGCTTGATAACGGTGCGATATAACTTATTAAATTGTACGTGGCAAAGACCAAAGAAAGAAAACACTGAGTTTTTGCAGTAGGGCCAAGAAAACTCCAATAACCGTTTTTTGACGAAAGTAATCCCTGGAGAAGGGGAACAAGAGGGACAAAGGACATTATAATCGTTATGATCGTTTTATTTTGCATTATAATCGTTATTTGTAGTCAATAATACGTATATTAGCTATCTTAATAAGTTGTAACACAAAGCTATAAAGCCCCTCGTAAAATTTGGGGCCGGCTATTCGATTATAGGGCGCTGTACGTCGAATTGAAGTTTTGGGGTGTATTATATGCGACAAAGGATGTAACAATACACCCTTTTTTCTGAGAGTGTAGCTGCGTTTGGAGATTCGCGTTTGAACTTTGTCCCTCTTGTTCCCCCTCTCCAGGGATTATTTTCGTCAAGACTCCCAATGTTTTGTAGAATACAGGCAGCCAAATCAACCGTTGGGGGACTCTTCGTACTCTATAGGCGGAGCAAACAAGAGTGACCTCCATTCATTTAAGCAGTCCACATGAGGATATATTTGTTCAAATTTTATTTATTACCAAGGATGATACGCAGCTGGATTGGTCTACAAAATGACATCGGTATGCCGACTATGCAATATTTTCGCGTGAAATTTATCATCGTTATCCGTAAGTATTCTCTTTGTGTGTTTCGCAGCCCTGAAAATGTCCAAGTCAATCTATTTCGCAGTGATTCAGTGTGACTCTTAAGGGTGTTTTTTTTTATTTTTTTTTTTTTATAAAAAGGTATCGTAACTTTTTGTTCTTGCTGTCTCTTACCTATCATGGTCTAACAAGTGACAACACTGTTAATTTGTTCTTCTTAACGATACTAATTCGTTGTACTGATCAGTAATTGGGCCCGCCTCTACAAAAACTCGAGTAGAAAATCTACTATCACTAAATAAATAAATAGTAGATCCCTCCCATAACTACGATAAATATACAATGCGATGCTATCACTTATCGGGTGTCGTTATCGGAACTTAAAAAAACTATATACACAGTAAGAAATTAACGTCGTTTAATTATTGCCTGTGCCAATGCCTTTGACTGGGAGATATTTTTATCGAACTTTAATGTGTCATGTATTATGAAAATAAATCAACCTAATAAAATTCTTAATTGCGGCGATGGTCAACTGCGACTAAGTGTATTGTAATAGACGACTTCATCTATTCATTTCGTTAATAATTTATTTATTTAATTATTTCGAATACCCTCCAGGCCACCAGGGCGTTTCAGAGGGAGTGTGTAACAGCTATAAGGCGGTAGAGTAATTAACAGGGGAGTGCTTCATCTCTCGAGCGTGATTCATTGAGCATCAATTTTCCTTTTTTGTGCATGTGAGAACCGCATGTGGTGTTTAGTGGCTTGTAAACCTGTTGATCGTAAAAATATATAGCTACCAGTAAGCTGAGATCATCAGCATTCTATTTTTAGCTTCGTATCCAGCATCCTAAGCAGGGTGGAGAATGAAATTCAAGGTGAATTAAATCACACACATCTGACTATTATGATTTCAATTAAACGCTTACCCTCAAAACAAACACGAAAATATTTTCCATCTGACGTTTGTCTATGATGTTATGATTTCCATTGGCATTTACTTCGTGTTTAAAGAAAAGAAGGAAGACACAAAGAAGATTTATATCATTTTTTAAAACACATCTAATGACAACAAGCCACTCTCTCCTAACTGAAGTGGTTCAAATCGCGTAGATCTGATTTAAGTCAAATAAATTAGATTTAAATCAAACTAATCTGATTTACATATTTTTTTTTATCACTACTGTTTTTTTTTAAGCGTGTAGCTGTAACAATTAAAGGTGTTGTTGTAACACCCTAAAGGTGCCTCTGTAACACCCTAAGGGTGCTGCTGTAACACCCTTTGCGCCGGGACAAGCTGGTTCGCGCGCGTAAAGGTGTATACTTTGTGTACTAAAACTCCCTGTTGGAGCATAGGCTCTCCATCTCCGCGCCCGCCTGTCTCTAACAATTGGACAACACACGTCCAATGCGTCCAATCATCACGCAGAGCTTCGATCAATCTGTTTGGACGTCGCGGACGATTGCGTTAGTTTCGTTGGATGAACAGAATGGGTGCTAGGGTGCGTTGCCTCGATCCCTCCCCCAGAGCCAGCCACCGTGCGCTGTCGTGGAATTCCTGTTCTCCGTTCCCGTTGTGTCTTGTTCGTCTTTTCATAGAAGCCGGCTTCCGCTGGGCTTTCGTCACGATGTATAGCGGCTACGAAAGATCATCGAGATAGAAAGCAAGAGAGATATTAAGAAGGCAGAAATACCTGTCTCGAAATACTGTTTTTAGATTCGCACCATACTCTCACGTCTTGACTTCCAGAAAGAATGTTATTCTGCTTGCTTTTTTTTTTTGTACTTCCGAGCTGAAAATTGTGTTTTTCTGATTTTTTTTTCTCGGATCTTGACGGTTAGTCGGAATGCTGGACAACGTGGTGGTTCCTGCGCCCCAACGCAAAAAGCACGTCAAACTTTATCCTGCTTCAACTTTTATCAAATTTAGTCTCCTACTTTTTTATCTTACTATTATTTTTCCTCTTATCTCGCTGCTGTTGTTGCTGCTTTCATTGTCTGGCACCTACCGCCGGACAACTCCGACTTTCTCTATCCTTTTTTTACGTTAACTCCGCCACTCTTGTTGAAAGAAAAAAGAAATAGATAGAAAAAAAACGAAGGAGGGAAAGAAGGTGCTATTATTTCTGTCCTCCTCTCCACTCTCGCTACTTCCAGCTCGTGCCAGGAACATTCAGACGGCATTAAGCCGCCCAAATATTCGTCACGCTTTGCGGCACGCGATCATGCCTGCGCCATTTTGTGGAGTATATATCTACTTGTGTAGATAATACCGCGGTGCGTAGCTCTTTTTTGATGTATATATATGTTGTATATCTCTAAATCTGTTCTTCTTTTATTGTTAGATTCATAACGAGATTTTGTGCTTTTTACTTTCATTTCATTTTTTATCTCAAAAACTTTTTTATGCCGTTTTCTATATGACAAGAGTTTCACGGGGCCTACTTAGGCCACCAAGAACCAGTTTTTGTTTGTTTATTTGTTTTTTCTTTTTCAATCGGACTTGTTTAACTTTTTTTTGTTAAGACCGTATTTTTATTAGGTTTTTTTTTTTTGCTTTGTTTTCTCGCTACTCGGCGCAACTGTTTTTTATGTTTTTTTTTTGTTATATCAAAAAATTACTTCATCTAAACAGACAATAAAGTTACCTTTTAAGTCGTCCGAAAGTAAGGTGGTATGAACTCAAACGTGACTATCGCAAAAATATACTAGGAAAAGGAAAAAACACTTTGTATGTAACTCTCCGCTAAGACACTTTTTTTTTATCTCGGCAACAAAGAATAGTACCCACGGTTGCAGGACTGTATATAACTTTAAAAAAAGTATAGATAATGTACCGCCAATAGTTTCAGTTTCAGTGTTATTCGAGCTTGGCCCATTTGGCGAGGGACAAAAACCCGCTGACTGGAGTGTCTCTATGGCGTATTTCGAGGTGGGCACTCCTAAACTGAGACTTTACTCCTCACGAGATATTTGCGGACCAAAAGAAATATATTGCAAATGTAAGCATAGGAATGCGTGGTTTTAATTCAAAAGTGATACGCCAAAAACTCGTCAGGAACACGTCGGAAGTTCCGGGCATATTTGTATTTCAGGTATCCTCTGGGAACTTTTTCTCGAATTCTATATTATAAATACAAAGCATATGTTTAAACAATAAATCACTGTATTACACGTAAATTGTCCTAAAAAGTATCGTTGATAATTTTTTTCGCATCTAGTTTGAGATCGAAAGCGATTCAAAGATGCCGTCAGCTACAAACCTTAAAATCGCCCGTCCGTTCTTGGCTGCTTCAGATTTTTTTTTTTATTATTTAAAACTAAACACGTTTTAGCGTTTAAATGAGGAGCATTTTATCTCTCGTGATATTAGCCACAACACATAAAGATATTAACAAAACTAAACAAAAATTTTATATCAGCATCATTAAATGAATTTAAATAAAATCCCTGACATATAAAGTAATTATGATAATGTAATTAAATGCAAAGGTACAAGTGAGCTGGACAAGAATGACGAAAATAATTCCTGGAGAAGGGCAGCAAGGGAGACAAAGGACAAACAGAATAGAAATCTCCAAACACAGTTAGGTGACGGTGCGCGGCCGAAAAAATCCGCCTGCTCCTGGTATCGAACTAGGGACCTCTTCATTTCCAGTGGAGCGCTCTACCAACTACGCTAACAAGAAGTTGGACGTCAGTAGAGCAGACCAGTTTCCACCATTTATGATGATAACCTTTTTAAGGTTACTATCATAACCCTAAAAATGCAGGCTGTTCACCCTTGTGGTAGCTGTTAAAACCCGTTTCCTCTACTGACGTCTAACTCCTGGTTAGCTCAGTTGGTGGAGCACTCCACTGGCATTGGAGAGGTCCCTGGTTCAATACAAGGACCAGGAGGATTTTGACGTTCGTGCACCACTCACCTAGCTGTGTTTGGAGATTTGTGTTTGTCCTTTGTCTCCCTTGGTCTCCTTCTCATGTGATTATTTCGTCATATAAAGTTAGAAAATAAGTTATACTGTGGAGAGCTTGGTAGGACTTATGCGTTTTATTCCCGATGTCTTATAAATTTTACTGTCCTATCGCACATCCTCATCGAAAGGAGATCTTTCCCATAGTTTCCATTTCAAATATTACTTATTTTGGTATCACGAAGCGTATCGATCAGGAACAAATTTGGGGTACCTAAAGTTTCCTCAAATCAAGGACAATTTCTGTATGATATTTCATTTCCACGGGCATAATATTTTGGCAATTTGTTAAGTGTCTGTTTCGGTAATATTTCTCCCACACAACGCTTCGCTGTACGCTATCAGTACATATGAGGCGACCTATTCACGTGATACATTTTTCGCAATATCTGTAAAGTCACAAGATTCACGAAAATTAGGTTCTAGCCAAGGTCAAGCCGTTTAGTACAGTAGGCAAATTTCGTTTTATGGAACAAATCATATACCAAATTAAAGCGTAAACATGTACAAATCCAACAAGTACCTTATATCTCTTCTCGTAAACGACAACGAGTTGATGATTAAAATACTCTAAAAAAAAATCTGTGCTGGATCAATTTGTTTACTAGAACTAAACTAGAAACTGCATTCGCGCCACATTTTTCTTCTTCGGGTTTATAACTTCAGGAGAACTAAAAACGGATTTAAAATTTGAGCGATCGACACAGGCTGCGCATTTCGGTGTTTCGCCACGATCAGATAGATTCCGCACTACAAAAAAAAAAAAGAAAAAACATCGGAAGTGCTTGTTTAAATTACATTAATGTAGCTAAGCGAACAGAAACATGCGTTTTCGTTTATAGATATTTTTGTTTTCCAGAAACTACCGCCCCCGCCAATAAATCAGCTGATTTGGATGACAATAACAGTGGTTACATTTTTTGTTATGGAACAAATTATATATTAAATTAAAGCGTAAACATGTAGATATCTAACGGGCACCTTATATCTCTTCTCGTATAAATGTACACCTTAGCGAAAAACAATTTCTAATACAAAAGACAAGGATAAAAGTGCAAATTTTTCAATATCAGGCATTGACTCGTCAAGCCTGAATTTCAAGGCAGTGGATTGCAGAATACGTTCTTGTGTAGGAACTCGTGCACAGGGTGTACCAGTGAACTTTGTGCATAGCTTTGCACCAACTCCAACGTTTTTCTGACCTCTGACTTTTCCCATTAAACTAAGTAGGAAACTCGACCTGGCTATATATGTGGCAGGAAAGGCACAAAGGTCAAAGGTCACATAACCTGTAACGTAACGCCGAAACTAGTTTAGTCCAAGCCATAACCACATCCTACGTTAAACAAAACAAAAACACCACCAAATAGTCCTGTGCATGTCACTCTGCAGTGCGTTGTTCGTCACAAACAAACCAAAAGAAAAGATACAATGCCCTCGGCGATTGACCTCGCTGGACATCACACGCCCCTGGCAATAAACAGTGCAAACAACCTTTTGTTCTCGAGCTAAGCTTTCGCTCCTTGCTGTTGAAACAACGACTCCCGCGTTCCTCGCTGAGAGAGCTTCCTAGGGCTTCCTAAACTGTTCCATTCTTTTGGCTGCTAGACAAAGAAGGTGAGACCTACTGCGTAATCCGGCGTATACACCGCACGCTGCTCTATGAAGGAACGTCCAAAGCAGAAGACAGTTGTACACAACGCCATACCACTCGCAGTTAAACAAACGGCTTCTGGAGTCGATAACAGTTGTACACGTAACTCCTTACGATCAATCTCTTGATAGTTTGATCGTTATTGTTTAGTCAAAGACTTGCAGGAAGATGACATCACCCATCCGGGGACCTCATGGCCCGGCCACCCAAGACCCTCAGGGGCCACAGCACGTTTACTATCGGGAAAGTAACGACCTATTTGCTTTCTTAAAAAAAAAAAAAATATATATATATATATATATATATATATATATATATATATATATATATATATATGTTAAGTATTTTCAACGCACATGGTAAACATTCCAGGAAAGCGATGCTTTCTCTTATTAATTCGAGTGTTAAAAATACTAGAGCTCGCGACCATTTTCTTTACTGCAATTGCTTTCAAGTTTCAGTTGCATATACATTTTTGTGCTACCACGTTAAGTTTGAAAACGCTGCCTCGTAAAAGCAATTTTCGCAATTGCTCACTGGTTAAGCAAAAGTACGCAACTGTAATTTCGTAATATATTTGGATTCAAGATATGAAGCCCAAAAAGGCAAGTGCTAAATTGATTTCTACGTTTTAGGTAGATAGAAATCAGTATATCCGCAAGGAATTTCTACAAATTGACAAAAAGTACACAGAAACACAAATAAAGATGGCGATAAAGACAAGGACAAGTAGAAGACACAGACAAGCGCAGACACAAAACAAGTGTCTTCTGCTTGTCCTCATCTATTTATCAATTTTTATTTTTATTCATGATACCTTGAAGGTCCATTACTGGACATTACACAAGGGGGGGGGGGGGGGGGGATTTGGTCAGGTTACAGTATAGTCAACACTTAAAAGAAAAAAAAGAAAAAAGAACAGTACCAACAGGATAGCAATATCAATTTCTTTAGCGCTACCTTTATTTCTGTAATGTATAACCAACTAGCCCGTCATATCATATTACTACACAGAGACGCCCTAGTCAGGGGTATAGACTGATGAAATCACCCTTCTTGTTCGTGGAGTCTCCTGGAATGATCTTCCGATCCATCATTTTAGACACCCGGAAAGATACAAATGATACAGAGTTTTAGTAGAGCCGGGGCCGGCCCTACACCACCGCTCGCCATGGGCAAACTCCGACCATGGCGCCCCCCCCCCCCTTTTTTTTTTTATACGCCCCTATCTGCTATAGTCGGTTACAAGTCAAGAAGGTAGGAGAAGCTCCTCCCACAAGCGTGATGCGCCGGTTTCAAATCCCTCCGCAGTCGAAAGAAGAGTTCACTGGAAACGCTCCTTGTTCCGCTTCAATGGATAGGTATTGGCTACAGGGTGATGCCAACTTGGTTTCGATCCCACTTTTTAAGAAAGCGACCTTTGTATTCATCGGAGGGGGAACCGAGCCCCTGAAAACAGCCTTTGTATCCATCGGAGGGGGAACCTAATCACCTAAAGTCGTATTTGTTTCCATCGGAGGGGGAAAACTCTAATCTCCCACTCGTGGCTTCCACAACGCTAAGTCAAGGTCGAAAGATAAAGCTAATAAGTACAGAAAGGCAAGATCCTCCCCGCTACCTTCTCGACTTGTAACCTGCTATAGGTACGACATCACGTTGTTAGTAAACATGTCGGTGGCTGCCCAAAACAAGCATTTTCTGTCAGACGAGAACCGCACCCAAAAACAAACGGTGATTGACCATATATAGTGTCGTGTCAGGCGCCGCGTTCAAATAAAAATCACAAAGCTTAAAAAAAAAATTAAAAGGGGGGAGGGGGCGCAGCGGCGCCCCTTTTTTAATTTTTCATTCGCCCAACCCTCTTTCCTGGGGTCGCCCACCCCCTAGGGCCGGCCCTGAGTACGGCGTTCCGATACCTCCGATAACAGAGAGTTTTAG